ACAGCTTTAGACCTAAAGGTAAATGTTGACATATAAGCCCCCTGCCAGCATTAAAGGATGACAAGAAAGGAGCATAGCTGCACAGACAAAAATGAGAACAGAAAATATGAAGGGCTCTATGAAATTGATATACGCCAGTAAAATCGTTTTGTGGCAGTACATCAAAAACTGCATTTTCTCACTATTGGCTCTCAAAGGGAAAAGTCCAAGACAGAGTTGTCCCAGCCTCTGTACCTATGCCTCTCACAGGTAGAAATCACACCCTGGCTTAATTAGAAATGAGTTCACACACAGGGAAACCCTGTGCTACCCTTTTATTTCCAGCATCTGCTTGGAATATATTTTTTTTGTTTCAAGAAAAGAAAAAAAGATTATTCTGCAATTTTCAGTCAAGAACATAAAGAAAACTCTCAGTTAGATGTTGTAAACTTACATGAAAAACAGCTGAGAGTATCCCTGGCTCAAGAAGCTATGAGCAGTTTTATTTTCTTTCCTTGGGACTAGAACTCCAATTTAGCAATGGAAGCCACTTTGGCTATAATCCACCAGAAACACCCGAGCAAAATAGTTCCTGTTTCACCTTAATGCTGCCTTTAATTTTGCCATTTCCACGAGTAGCTGGCTGGAGTCTGCCATGGTGTTTGCTCTCACACCATGATGGTTCCTCTCCTATAACACCCAAAGAAACCACACGAGCAGCCCTTGCTGCAGCACCACCAGCATCCTCTGTCCCTCCTCCTGCACCCAACCTTTCTTCTCCCTTTGCCTGAGACCCTGCACATCTGGAGGAGAAAGAAAACAGTTCTTGACTGGAATATGCAAGTGCCTAAGCATAGCTACCTAACATCAGGGGAGACAATAGGAAATTTGTTACAATCCCATAACTTGGGCTAAAAGTCCATTTCTTGGAAAGCATCCAGGACTCAGTAAACGCTCAAATGTTCACAAATTGTTTGTTTTGTTCTTGACAAACTGTTCCCATTGTAATAATATTCGAGGAATTATGAATCATTAAGACAGCCAACTGGAAGGGAGAAATTACTCTGGAAAACCCGAACAGAGGCTATTTGAGTGCAGTTTTCCAAGAATCTAGGGGTACAGAGCAATTATTTAGCTCTTTCAGGAAGGGTAGGGAATTGGAGTCATACAGAGTTTTTAAGGACTACTTTGTAAAACACTGTAATTTTAGCTTTCTCCTTGCTGTGAAATATGTACAAGCAGAGTTCCTTAATTCTTCAATGACTCTGTATATAAAGTCCTCCAATTATATAAGAGCCTTAAACTTGTTTTCTTGTCAGCATCTCATATGTGCTAGTAATATGCTTTGCAGAAACAGAAGAGGAAAAAGAGACAAGACAAGTGAATTCTGGAACTTTTCATGCTTTCTTGACTGACTTTCCAAGATTCACCTCAAATGTGCTCAGCCTACTGTAGGCACTTAAAGTCCTAATATGGAAACATGAATAAAGAAGCTAAAGATAGAATTTTTTTTTTTTTTTTAAATCAAATATTTCTTAAAATTTCAGATGTGAATGCAAATATTTAGTTTGCATACTAACTTGGTTTTAAAAAAACCCATAACAGCTAACACCTCTTTTATTTTCTCCTTAAAGTCCCTGAAGTTGTCTTGTCGAAGATTCTTCTTACTGGTCACAGGAGAGAATGAATATAAAATACTTCAGGATCTCTATACTCATTTAAGTAGGCACATCCTTAATTCTTTAGCTCATCTAGAACTTGCTGAGCTGGATGATACAAAACTGACCTGAAGACTGATGCTAGTGGTGGAAGTGGGGAGGTTTTGGTAGCAGGGATGGCAGGCACAGCTGTAGTCCCCTTGTTAGTCCTACCCTGCCAACTAAATATCCAGGACAAAAAAAAAAAAAAAAAAAGAAAGAAAAAAGGCAAACACAACTATGTTCCCTTGTCGTTCCAGTTCTAGGGTGCAGTTCAAAAAACTGGAAAGGTCTCCACATCCCTGGGACTGTTTCTGGGTGAGTTAGAGCCACCCACGTCCCAGCGCCGGGACGTGGCCTGGGCAGGGCAGCACCATCAGACCAAGTGATGGGGCTTGGGGGGTTGGGTGCTCTGGGTGGGAAGTCACTTGGTGTGCCTGTCTTGTTCTGCCTTTCACACTTGGAGGGCCACATGCCATCTCGCTTACGCCTATGAGTCATTGCATTAGCTTTGAAAAAGTGACTTGAAATTTACAGAATCTTCCCAAGAGGTTATTTATCAAATATGTATAATAATTCACGCTCCGTCTCACCCTCTTCTGTTATAGAACTTTCTTAAAATGAACATAGATCTCAAAGCACAGAGTTTTTATACATAAGCCTAAATATCGTTAAACTGGATAAAAAGCTTGTACCTGAATCCATTGCCTCTTAAGGAAATCATTACTGTGTTACCATAACACGATCTCTTTTTTCAGCAAGCGTGATAAATATCAGTCTATTATCATAAGTCACTGCCAATAACCAAAGCCATTAATCTGAATGTGTCTCTGCCTCCCACAAATGAAACTCTTATTTTGAGTTAGCAGTTAAATGCTTATCTTACATGTAAACACATACTGCCTGCTGAAAAGAATATCTGAAAATTGCTAACCTAAGAGTCAACATGAGGTTGACAAATGCTCATGTTTATGTTCTGTAATTAGTTTAGCAGTTATTATCAGGGAGTAACAGGTTGCTGTGGTGCAAAGGATGCTCAGCTTTCCTGGGCACAGGAAGATATTTATAAGGAAAAAGACTAACTGTATATGACCCACCAGAGATGCTTTAGGTCAGCGTTCATGTACATGTGCAGGAAAATATGCACATACATAAAATATAAGAAATGGAGGAAATATTCCTCTGAAACTGACTGAGCTAGGATCAATGGGCTCAAAGCAGCACAATAACCAACAGCAATTCAGCTATGGCTAATGGTCTTGGTATCTAAAGGATGACACAAACATTTAGAAGAATAAACAAGCAAAATAGTGCAGACGACTTCATGCACTGAAAAGGCTTGAGGTTCTTATCAACTTCATGATAATTCTCAGACCATAGGTCACTGGGGACTATTCCTTGATGATGTGCTATCAGTCTATTTTAGATGACTTCATTTTCTGAAAGAGCACCAGAGCAGGTTTGTCCTCCTGTTACCAAAGCGACAGCTTCAATAACTAAACTTTACCCCGCTTGTTGAGAGGCATCTAACTAACAATGAGCTGAGATGTTATGCTCAGTTTTGGTGATGGAACTATGCAGAGACACAAAATCCCAGGAGGAAATATCTGGCTCCATACCACGTGCTCCTGCATGAAAGCTATTCATTTCAAATAAGAGTTTTAAGATTCTTTTTAATTAATGGCTTTCATAACAGGAAAAGGCCTTCTCTGGCCAGCACAGCAACACAGTCAAGAGGCAAACTGGAGCAGGTGGTGAGTTTGGGAGGGGATAGAGAGAGCAGATGTTAGCTTGAAAATTTGGAACACTCTCTGAGTCCCATAGCAGGAGCCCAGTTTCCATCAATGCATATTGTAGGAGCAATTAATTGGGACCACCCAGGCCTAGGATTTGCCAGAATCAAATTTTCCATTCACACAACACACTTCTGTAAAGCTGAATGTTTGTTTAAAATACTTCTGAAAGTCCATCATTACGTTTTTCCTCAAAATATACATCTTCCTTCTGTTTCACGGATTTGGTGGAAATCTGAACTCACAGAATATGGATCTGGAGCTTTCTTTTTAGAAATGTTTATCTACATTCCCATGTTTTCAAAAAAAATCAAAATTCCAAGTTAATAAGAAATTGTTTTTTGAGGTTTTGATCTAATTCTGTATAAAATCATAGAATCACAGAATCATTTAGGTTGGAAAAGACCCTTAAGATCATCAAGTCCAATTGTTAAGTTTACAAATTACAAAACTACAAAACTTCTTTCTAAAAAATTTAAATACCACTTTCTATTACTGCAGTAAAGGATCTTGAATATGACAAAATTGCTACCTTATGTATATGTTCTTTTTGTAACATTACAGAAAGGGTAGCATTTTTGATATTTACAAGTGGATTTGGAGACTGAAACGAGATGTGAGTCAGAGCTGAGTGGTCAGGGAGCATTTGAGAGCAGTCAGGTGAGACTGGAGACTTGGTCTACTGACTTCAGTCACACTGCAGAGTCCAGCTATTTCCTCGGTCTAAGCAGAAGATTTAGTTTGAAGGAAAGACAGATGGTTTGGGAATGGTGAGGATCTGGACTAAATTCTCTACTTATGTAATTTGTGGCCAAAGATGCCATAGCATCTGCCAGATTCATCCCTTACCCTCATGTAAATCACAGTACAAGTAGGAAGACCCTCAGTTTGGTATGGTGACAACTTTTGCTCGCTACTGAAGTCTTCAGAGGTTCATAGTCATGACCTGCACAAGAAGCACTGTGCACTATGGTGGTCCCTTAGGTCATCTATACATTCATGTCTATCACTTTAAAATAAATGCCATATCTGCTGTAACATGTCCTTTGCAAATACCCTTCTCCACAATAAAGTATGTGAGAAAATGCAAATCAGAGCATAAAATATTAAAAAATCTAGGTATAGTCCTGGTCCCACTGAAATCTATTTTTCAGTTATTATTTTCCAGGTGAGATCAAGGAAGCATAACTTAGACATGAAGATGTATCCGCCAAGGACCCAAAAAAAGTATTTTTCAGTTATTATTTTCCAGGTGAGATCATGGAAGCATAACTTAGATGTGAAGATGTATCCGCCAGGGACCCAAAAAAGTGTAAATGCCATATCTGCTGTAACATGTCCTTTGCAAATACCCTTCTCCACAATAAAGTATGTGAGAAAATGCAAATCAGAGCATAAAACATTAAAAATCCAGGCATAGTCCTGGTCCCACTGAAATCTATTTTTCAGTTATTATTTTCCAGGTGAGATCAAGGAAGCATAACTTAGACATGAAGATGTATCCGCCAAGGACCCAAAAAAAGTATCTTACCTTTTTGACCTCGTATTTAATAGCAAGTTTAATCCTGCTCAGGCTTGGCCGGTGGTGGTCGGGGCACAGATGTATGTTCACATCTCCGTTGAGAATCGCCTCTACTTCTTCGGTGTCTCTGCACAGGTCCAGCACCCCCACGACAAAGTCCTTGCATTGCATAGATAGCTTCCTATAGTCGTTCTAAGGAAAAATAGAGAAACACTAGTTATTTAATTTTGCACTTGAAAGCACACCTCAAACAAACAAACAAAACCAAGAGAGCACAGCTGTGAGCAAGGTTACTTCTGCAAAACTACTGACTGGAGCCGTAAGAAAGCACTCGATTTCACCCAGGTCATAGCAAAAATACATGAACTCCTCCAGATTTAATTAGAAATGTTTCTATCTAATGTAAACTATGTTCAACATAGTTCACATTACATTAGAGTGTGCCTTACAGATCAACAAGTAATTAATTTGTAGAGAAATTTTGATTTTAAGCATTGCTTGACCTCTCCTCTCTGCATGGCATATCTTCTGGGAATGTGAAAGAGGGCAAAACCAAGGTCCTTCTGCTAGGTTAGAAATTACAACAGATTTTTCAATTTAGAGTCTCCACTAGTAATTTTTTCTTTAGTAACTTTCAAGGAGTTTCAGGCTGGTACAACAAGTTGCACATATTTTTAAAATGAAATCTATAGCTGTAACACAAATTTCAGTTTCAAATTTATTACCCAACAATTTGGTTAAACAGTCTGAAAAGAGCATCCAGAGAATAATTTTTATCGTAACACTTCTCCTGGAAATGGGACCTCAGACACTCAACATGATTTCCTTTGAAATAATTTCACCTTGCAAACCCAAATTACACTTAGGGGAAAAGAGATAGCATGTACCCGACTTGACAGAGGATTAGAAGAGCAATTTCACTGCCTTAAATTAAGTTGTGATTGAGTTTCACATGCTGCCACTTAAAAAATGAGGAAACTGCCACCACCTGAGTAAATGCAGTAAATTAGAACACAATTAAGGCTACCATTAATATCCTAACAAAATGGTGATATTAAAGACTCAATGCAACAAATAGAAATAATAAGCATAAGACAAGCTCTTACTGACTTGAGAGATCTTTTTAAATTAGGTTTGATGAGTTAATTAAATTCAGCAACTTATCTAATTAAGCCAGCAGCCAAAAAAAGAAGATAGTTGAACCTGGCTTTGATAAAATGATAAGAGTACTTTGGCTTTGTACTGCTATATTTTCTAAATTATTTATTCTAACGTTTACACATAGCAACATAGTAGCCTTCTTTGTTAGGCAAGGATCTCAAAGCACTGTGCAAACATTCATTAATTAGGTAGAGCAACACTGTTTAAAATAATGTGTTACTAGAGGTGACTATGTTTATTTGGACAGTTTCTCCCCTTCAAAAGGGAGATGCTCCTGATAATGATTATTTTTTTAAATTAGTTGGTTTAGTGACATTGTCATAGGTCTAAGGTTGCTTCTAATGTGTCTGTGTGTCCCAGCTTTCCTTACTATGCTCTCCTGCAAACCAAAGGCTATGAAGAGCTGCTTCACTCAGCGCAGAAAAAGTCAACAGTCCCAGGGAACCAGAAAGCTCTTCAGGGCTGGGATTAGAGCATTCTCCCAGAAGTGAGATAATGCTATTTCTGATAGGAGTTTCGGAGAATGCACTGAAGTAGAGAGCTGGGGAATAGTCTATATTTTAGTAGTGAGACCTTCTGCAAGGTGGAGGTTGTATGTTTACATCCTCTTATCTATCACTATTATCTATTATGGAAATCAGCAAGAACTCCAGATCTTCATTAAACAGAGATATCATATAACAATAAGCAGGTGTTTATCTCTAGTAGAGCAGGTGCATGCCTCAATGCAGAAACAGGGGCACCGAGGTTTCTATAAATGTGCCAATTTAGTGCACTAAGATTCAAGATGTCCTCAAGGCTCAGCAGAAAACGATTGTACATTTGCATCTAAATCTACTACCTAAGTATTTTGTGGAGATAGGACTTGTAGAGTGAATGTTATCAAATATGAAGTGAAGTAAGGTCTGAAATGTAAATGAAAGGTGGGTTGTACTTTAGAGAGGAGCACTTTGAATCCATAATCAATTCCATGCTTTAATCTTCACCATACTGAGATGAATTTCAATAAAAAGAAAGATTTTCTGTTCTCTAAGAGAGTAGATGCCCAAACACAAATATCAGTCTTGAAAGAGCTGCAGGACTTGTGAAGGACAGCAAATAGAGATAGATCTGAGAATAACCATAATCTGAGAATGAAATGCCTACCTGCCACAGGTGATGGAGACACATAGTTGGCCCAGCAGGTTAAAAAAAATCTAAGAGTCAGAACTCTGCTAAGCTTTAATACCATTCTATACATACTGTGTGCAAAGTTCACAAGCTTATCTCTTAGCCAGCACATTTTAGGTAAGTCCCATCACCATTTCCACATCACCTGAACATCTAGTACGTACTAACTCAGATTATTTTTCCTCTTCTGCTTTCTTTAAGGAAAATAGTTTTGTTAACAACCAGAAAAGTCCTAAAGCAGTAAATAGCAGGCTCCCAGCTGGCAAACACCATCAAGACCCAACTTTATTCACATCTCCAAGCCTGATGTTTTTACTTGTTCTCTACATTTGCAGAGACTATGAATGATTTTTCTGTTCAAAATTATTTACTCCATTATTTACACAAGCAGCAAGACAATCTACCCAAGATACAAGCTGTAAAAATAAAATAAAATAAAATAACATAAAATAAAATAGCTTTCCAGCCAATCTGCAGCCAGGTAGGAAAGCAGTTAACTGCTCTCAGGAGACACTGCTCACCTGTCAAGACAAGCTTCAACGATCACTGAACCTGCTGTGTCTTCCAACAATCCCTTATACAAAAGCATTTGTCATCTTTGTTCTGGCTTCCTTAATGCTCACAGTCAGCACAGAAAATCCAGCTCATTCTGACGGTGAGAACAGAGCCACTCAGTGACTTTCCTAATGTCAGTGTTTTTGCCTTTGCAAGCACGGGTTATTGAAGGTATCTTTACTAAAAACTGAGATTAGCAGTAGACTGACAGCCAAGCTTCTCCTGACCCTGGCAGGCGTAGTGTAGCTTTGATGACGCAAGCAGAAATGACCTACCTGCATATCAAATACTGAGTTGCAAGTCACGACACACAGTAAAAAACTCAAGGAAGCCAAGAAGATTTACAAGCAGCACGTGAGCTATATTAGCGTATGTACCAGTGCTGTATTAATTGCCAGCATTTCACACAGTTGGAAGCATCTGAGATCCTGCATACCCTACACAAAGAAGATCTGTGACAGTGGGGGGGCTCGCTTTTGCATAAGACAAGGGTTAGCCAGGGGTGGAAGAGTCAGGAGGAAGAGGTGAAGGAGAACCAGAATGCATTTCCAATTATATTTTGTTACACCAATGTTTTTGAAGATTGACACCCTAAAGACTCTTGGTGACTCTGCCAGGAGATAGAGGAGCAGACTGCCACTGTGTTTCAGGGTGCAAAGAGCCAGTCCCCACTTTACCACTGCCTCCCCAGCTGGGTTCTAGCCCCAGACTAGGCATTGACCGGTCCTCCTGGTCTAAATACGTTTCTGGGGGGAACAGGGTGGTGGTCTGCAAGCAGGGGTCAACGAGAAACTCACTGCTGGAGACACAAAATCCTTCTCAGTCCTCTCATCAGCTTTGCAAAAACAGACACAGGCAATGACAGCAACCCAAACCTTCCTGAGCACTCTGATTAGCTACCGCATTATAGAAGCTCGAGGAATACGAGTTTCATAAAACAGATGGATCTTTGCACTAATGAAAAGCACAAATCAGACATGAGGGATTTTGGGGCCTCATCCTGACAAGCTGAGCACTCTCAAGCCTCAGGAAGGAAGGTGAAGGGTACAACTGAGCACACAAGAGAGCCAGTATGCTTCAAATAACATGTGGAACAGAATTTTATTTGCTATTGAGACAGCCAGCAGAGAAGGATCAGGGTAATGCTTGAGAATGTTACAATATAATTTTTTAAAAACTAGAACATAATAAAAGGATTCCAAATTAGTCATTTCCTGCTTTTTCTAACACTGTTGTGCATGTGGAGTTAAAAATGTCTGATTTTGCTCTTTTAAAAAGGCTGATGGTACTTGTCATTCACTGCAATATCTCCAAGTACCCTATTATTATCCGTTGATTATGTTCTAAATGAACTCTGTCATGTCTCCACATCTGTTCAAAACCACCCAGATTTCTTCAGAAAAGAGCTGTTTCATGTCATAGGGATACAGGCTGAGTAAAAAGTTAAATGAAATGAGAAAAAGTAAGACCTGCAAGCTATCTTGGCTAGTTAATGGAAAAAAAAAAAAGAAAAAAAAAGACTATTTCAAAAGCAATCACAGTCAAGGATTGAAAATGAAGTTCTTCATCCAAGGGATCCTACTTCTGAAATGCCAGCATTGCAGGTGCACCTCAGCTGGCACAGAGAGAAGTCTGGCCTCGATGCTGCAATATACAGTGAGCAAGTCTGAGGTTTGATGAACCCCTCAGCGCAGGTGAACTTTCACCAGCAACTGAAGTGGGGCCAATAGTTCAGAAAATAAGAGGATCAAACCATTTTATATGCAATTGCAAACATCCTCCAGCTCAAAATCATTTCTGAGACTTCGCCTTTCCAGTCCCAGATTCAGGAACACACTTGGGTTGATGTTTAAGTCCTGCTGATGCCAATGAAAATGAAATACTTGCAACAACGTGTTTCAGTGAAGCACCGAAACAATCTTCCTTCTAGGTATGTGCAGTTTTTTTGGTTGAAATCATTGTAGATTATTCACTGCACAGCTGTTACTGGAAATGGGGCACACACCCACAGGACAGTGCCTGACACACAAATACAGAACAACCTGTGGAAGTGCACTACTCATGAAAATCACACCATATGTCACTATTGAGGACATATAATTAAATCCACTCTAATAATTGCTTCCAAATAACATCCACAAAGAGCAGGGCAGGAATCACAATTCATCACTCATTCCAAGAGATAATTCCAGGATTAACAATTTTTACTGGTATCCTGTATACAAATAATTGGTCTGTTAGCATATGCTAAAGATTCAGGGGCAGAGTTGTGGTCAGAAAAGCGAGCGTCACAGAGGAGTTTCCTT